ATATTTACTTTTGATGATGATGAGTCACTAAACTCTCATTATATAGAAAAGAGCTAAAGAAAGATTCTTCAAAAACACTTTTGATTGACATAAGGGTGAGTACATGATGACAATTGTTATTTTGGGGTTAGATATTTCTTTGCACCCAATATTTTCGCACAACTGACACCAACCCAATTAATACAACCAAATCTTACTCTACACTTTTCTAAATCAAACATCCAGTTTCACTTACATCAAAAACCCTAAAAAAAGCTACAAGCCTGAACCTCCATAGACAAAAACAGAGCATTAATACTGACTGTTTTCAAACTCCCTCCTTGAGCACTGGAGGAAGCCAAATGTAGTAATAACACACTCTCTAAATGATTTAAGCATTTGTGTGTTTGCCTGTCTGACCCTCTGTTATCCTTCAAGAACCTCCTTTAAACAAGACGTCAAGTGTCAACACTCAGGGTTATAACAGCATGTGCCACGCTTCAGCTTTGCCATTTGATTACTAGGTCAAATGTGAAGTTTGACCTGCTCTGAGTTCTTCTGTGTATGTGGACAAGCACAGGTTAAAATAATAGTAGGCAAAATCAGGGTACGGTCAAAGGCCATGTGTGGGCATGGTGTAAAAAAAACAAAGGGAAAATGTGTTCCTTACTAAATGTCTTCACATTGGTTTCTGTGGACAAAGCTAAATGTACCGTTTGAACAACGCACTATAATTTGGAGAATACTTCAAATGTTTGACAACAAATAAAAAATTTAAAAATAAACCACAATGACTGATCGTTTACCTTTTTTTTTTTTTAAATCATTTTAGATGTGTGCAATAAACCCAGAAAAATATATATCTAAAATAAGAATACATAACATGATTAAATCAAACAAAAATGTAAAATATATATATTTTTTTTAATGCTGAAAGTTTATTTTGTTAAATCATTTGGATGCGTGCAAACAAAATAGAAAAATATTTATCTGAAATAAGAATGAACCAAATGATTCAGCTAATGTAAAAATAAATACATTAATACTGAATTTAGCATATTACTAATGCACCACTTAAACAGTATTGAGTGCAGGCAAAATACAACGTTACTGAAAGAGACACACAATGGGTGTGGACTAACATCTTTCCTGAGATTTTCTTTCCATAACTTTCAACACGCATGTAATATTTGTAAAAATGAGTCCACTGGATGACATTCAGGTCAAATGACGCCTTTATTACATAAACATTAAGTATCACAGCCAAAAAGATCCCCAAAAATATGAATGTGACCTTAAATCCAAGTGCAGTTTAAGGGTGTCTTTTCTCAAAATGTATATTTCATTAATAAAGTTATTTAGTTTGAACTTGAATATGCAGGTAATATTTCTATAAAAAATGAATCTATTGGATGACATTTAGGTCAAACAACATATATGTTACATAAACATTAATTTTCACAGTGAAAAAAGTGCCAAGAAAATATGAATCAGACCTAAAAGTGCGGTTTAATGTCGTCTTTCCTCAAATTACTATATACTTTCTTAATAAAAGATGGAAAATGTTGGTTTGAACTTAATAACTCGCTCAACTTAAATGCATAAAAGACAAATTTCAATTCAAAGAAACAAAATTCCGATAATTTTGTTCATAAATTTAGCCGGTCATCCTAACTCTTCTAAGAGCCTCAGTTATGTTCCCTTTTCACTTGAGATCAAAGCAATGCGGTTTGCTTCATTTCATAGATCCGTTGAAAGTGGTTAATTCATCCGTGTGCTGAGATTGCCTCCGACACCCACAATCACAGCCAATGCAGCCAACGCTAAATAAACTCACTGACACACCACAAGCAAAACCACAGACTGCTTGTGGTTAACTAATAATAAAGCCGTTTCACATGTGGTGTCCTACTGTGCGTAATTATGAGATCTGACTAAACCGCAAATTTAAGTGTTTAAGCAGCCAAAATATGATTAACAGTCACAGCTGCTAAAACACGTATTTGAGTGTGACATTGATATTCACTTAGTCTTAAAAAAAAAAAAAAATGTATATGAGCCAAATATACCATAAGCTATAATAACAAATCAGCAATAATTATTGCTACATTTGCTGTCTCTCTCTCTTACAGTGTCTATTAGGGCTGCACAATTAAACTGAAAAATATTCAGCATTAAAATGACAACAGCTAATACAGCAATGCATTTACATGCATGTTGCATCATGCATCTATGACGTGTTTTTTGCACCGGTTGAGCATCATAACCAATCAGAGTTGCACACAATGACCAATCAAAAATGCTTAAATGAATCTATAGCTTTATCAAAGCGTTCCACTATGCTGCTAAAAGGGCCAATGTCAAGTTGACTGTTTATCCAACAAACAGGAAAAAGTTGTGTCTGCACTAAATACTGTAAATAATTGTTTGCATGTTCAAATCAAGAATAAAGCAGAATCTGCACAAAATCACGTTCAATGAAACTTCGACCAAAAGTCGAAGATCTAATATAAAAAAAAGGTGCACCATGTACACTTCTGTCACCTAGTACATTTTATTTGTAAAAAAAAATAATAATAATTTATAATAATAATAATAAAAAGTTGTTATTTTTGACCTCATGTTTCATTGAACTTATGTTGACAGCTTAGTCACTGTCTTGATCTAAAACAGCAATAACTTAATTCAAAAACAGTTCTCAGATTGTCTTGTCAATGCCAATTCTATTATGTAAAATTAATAACTGAGATTGCATTTAATTGTTTTGTTTATTTGGATTTGTCATAATCATGCAGCCCTACCCTGCTGAAAAAAAACAGCTCAAATGTATTGTTTAAAAAAACTGAAAATAATAAAAAAATTAATTAATTAAAATTTGAACTTTATATGTAGAAAATTTTGAACATTATTTTATGTTTTTTGTTTTGTTTTGTTTTTTAATAAATTATTATTAATATTATGTTCTGGATATCATAATTTCAGCCCAACTTTTCAAATTTTTTGCCACTCTAATAGGCAACTACCATCATTTTCACTAGCTGTTTGTTATATGTCCATTAGCAATTTATGGGTTTGATTTTATGGTGAAATATCATTCTTTCTATAACATGAATCTTACACAGTCATACCTCAAAATATTTTTAAGCAAGTTGCTAAAAGGTTGCTAAACAAGGACTACAACTACCTAAAAGATGCGACTGTGTGTCCTTGATGAATCAGAAATCTTTATATTGCTACTATAGCAACATAAACGCTTCAAAATTCATATTTAAGGTATGACGGTGTATCATTTATGCCGTAGAACCATGATGTCTCTGACATCAATTATTTTAGTCATAATTCAAACCCCACCATTCTAAACGGCCTGCAAACTGACGTCATGACCGCACTGGGTCTATTGACTCTGCTGGTGTGTTTGTTGCACAAGTCTTGCGAAAGCAAAGTGGATTTCTAACAGAGCCAAAGAGAACAGTCCCACTGAACACTTTGCTTCTCATCGCCCATTCACACAAGGGTTACATAACAGGACTAAGTAGTTCTTTCTTTTGCCTTTCCCTTCCAGATGCACTTTAGTCCCACTGTAAAGGGCGGGGGTGATTATAGGTCAGCAGGTTAGGAGTGTCTCAAAGTCAGTCTCCTTTAAAAAAAAAAATGGCATAGACTTGCCTAAAAACTCCCATCCGGACAGTGCCTCCCCATACCTGCCTCTTCTGACTGCTATTACATAACTGCACAGTGCTGGGAAAGTACCAAGCAAGAAAAGTGAAACAACTGCTAGCACGAGAGATTTGTTATAGATTCGTAAAATTCATTTTCGCGTTTCAAGGTCATTTCTCCTCATTCTTTGATTGGCGACAAACATTAAAAAAATGATAATTCAATAACTAAACACGCGCGCCACTGACTCTACAGTCCAGCGGTAATATTTTCGTTTAGAAAGCGAGTGGACTCGAGATCAAGTCCCGATTTTCTATACGATTTTATTGAATAAAACAATAAAAAAGACGACGTTATTATGAACAGTATTACACACATTCGCCACAGTGTAATCATACAAAACACACTCTGAACCCCAGACTTCGATGATTTTCCCTGCTCTGTTTATGGCAAAACTTGTTACATAACCAGCGTACATTCCACATTCACCGTATCAGCCTCTAAATATACCCTTCTTCGCGACACACAACAACCTGAACAGACATTCACCGTTACTTTATACAGTATCGTGTCACTTGTTCACTTTTTGTCTGTATAATCGCAGATACATTTTGCACTGAACTTGGATGAGTTGAACGGAGCCACCGAAGGGGGAGTGGCTAAAAAAACCTACTGTCTGTACTGTACAACACTCATATTTAGAAATATCTAAATTAAAATTAGATATTAAAGCATTGTGGGAAAGCTAAATTCCTTTTAATATATTTTATATATGAGAAATAAGTATTTGCATGCGTCCAGCTAGCGTCCAAACACGCGCAGAGATCAACGCATGCTGACAACTCATGAATGAAATGTAAAAATATAACACTTAAAAAAAAACAAATATGCATATATCAAAATAAAATGAGTCTCATTTTAAAAATATAGTTCACATAAGTTCGACTTGTGTAGCTAACACACATTATAACATTATGATCTCTCCCTATGTATATATATTATTTCGCACCATTTTTAAATCAGAAATTAACTTACATATTGTCAAATTTAGATTTTTTTAATAAACGCATTTGCTATTTTTTTAGTCTAGTGTCAGTGCTGTCATACATTCAACAACAATGACAGGATCATTCTGTTAGCCTATACAACCACATCAACTCTAAAAGCATCTTAATTCCTATATATTTCATAAATGCCGTCTATTCTTATTCACCACGCGCTTTTCTAGTGAACCAAACGCACTGGAATGATTTTGACGCGCCGCGCGCGCCATTTAAGTTGAAATGAATTCACTTTGAAGTTTTGCTCATCAACACTACGGAGAATCAATGTCATATCGATTCCAAAGAATCGCTGTCTCTCACCTCTGTTTGTGCTGGAGCAGCTCTGCCGGCGCACCGGGGCTTGGTGCTCAGCTTTGCGGAGGGTCTCCAGGTTTACCGGGGTTTCCCTGACCGGGGTAACCGGCTCTGAGACGCCGTTGCCCGGGTCGCTCGCTGGTTCTGGAGAGGACTCCATGTTGTGCTTCTTTTGGAGCTATTGCTGCTGGTGTATCACGATGCGCCGCGATGCGATTCAGAGCTCAGGGGTTTGCTGTAGCTATGTATTTTTCTAGCAGAAGTAAGAAATGTTGAACAGGCGAGTGTAGACAGAGGTGGGTGTGTGGGTTTGATTGTCCACCGGCAGCGCTAGAGAGAAGCTCCAGTGCAGCCGCTCAACAGGGACACACTGTCAATAGCCGATGAATGGATGTGTGTGTGTGAGAGTGAGACATATTAACACTGGCACTTTCATGTCTTTGCCCGTCTTCTAATGACACAGCCGCACATTTTCCGCTTTAAAATACATAATGCGTCACCTATAAAGGCACAAATTGCTCAAATTAAACATTCCTGACAGGATCCTGTTGTATGTTTTCAGAATCCCTGCACCTATCATGTTTGGTTTATGAGACGTTGCAAAAAGTATATATGAGAGCTGATATGTAACCCAGTCGAATACTTCTTACAGAAATATTGATGTAATCTATATATTGCGTGTGTGCGCATATATATGTGTGCAGCATTTTATTTTATTTTTATTTATTTATGTTGCCTTATGTTTGATTACTCTATAAATTATAATTTCAATGATGATGAACATCATTTTATAAATTGCATTTATTTGTAAATACATACCAATTGTATGTCATTCTTCACATATTTGAGAAGTTAAGCATTAGCCATTCACGAAGCTTTCAAAATATTCCAATTAAAAATATTCTAACACTTTTTATTATCCTTTAATTTGTGTTTTCCCTTATTGGTGTGAGTTAATACCCAGTTTTTGTCTGTCAGCTGTTTATGGTAAATTAATGCAACAAAAAAAAAAAAAAGGTGAAAAATCAAATATTAATATATGCAAATATACTGAACAATTGCTGGACACACTAGTGTTCATCACTATTATCACCATCTTTTAGTAACTAATTTAAGTTGTAAGCATTACATATCAAAGTTTGGTGGTATAAATGCCTATATTATCATCATACAAATGTTTACCCTATACATGGTTCTGGATCTTGTGAAATACAAATATAGATATAGGCCTTCTTTCCGATAGCCTAGATAAAAATTAATTAATTAAGGAAAACGATCTCCAGCAAATAGTCAGGTCAAGTTACTTGGTATAAGTATTTCTGCTTATTAAAGTGTTCATAAAAATTCAAGATATTTATTCTATGATTCTGACGCATAATCTTAACAAAATGTCCCAAATATAATTATGATGTGTTGATATGAAAATACTGCACATATGATACTTCCATACTCTTTTTAGTTCAAGTTTAACCACTCATGTACGCAGTATCTTGCTTATAGCCACAAATGTAGCTTATGCACTGACTAAATAAGTGAAGTGTAGCTCTGCTTATGTTTGTTTAATCAGTGTGAGAGCGCAGTAGATTAAGCTGGTCTGAGCTCTGACTTCAGCTGTTGATCAAAGCCTCAACACCCTTCGCCTTCAGGGAAAGCAGTTTTTAGCAGCATGTTAAAAGGGCGTGTTTTGATACTAAACAATGCCAAACTTGAGGCGCCCTTATTAATGAAATATTTCGTTTGGTGTCGCAGCAGTTGCGGGTTTCTCCCGGCGGCATGATAAACAGCACGCCTGCCGCATGCGATCAGCGCGGAAGAGCCACGCCCCCTCAGAGCACGTGGACTTTGGCATGGTCTTGCAACTTGAATCACCAACACCAAGTTCAGCGGGTGCACGATTACGTCGAAGTGGTTAGGTTCAGCTGAAAGGTCAAAACGGAACTAAAGGCTGCAACAGGTTGCACGCAGAAAACGGTCACACTGTCAAAACATATGAGAAACAGCATACCTGTTCAAAGAAATAAGAGTTATAATTGTGTCAGCATTTACACACCTTCATCTTGTTCCAAACCCGTTTGACCCCGTTGTCCAAATGATGACAAAAAAAACCTAAATATATATTTTTTAAATCAAAAATGCAATCCGTATAAATGGTGAACAATATTCCAAGACTTCAGAAACCGAAGAACTGGACATTTAAGTCGCTGTTTACTTACAAACCAATCTAATATTCTGCCACAGCGCGCAATTGTTCACGCAAATGTAGATTTAAATTTGGCGCGAAGGTGAGTGGCGTGGCTCCAACGCAATTGTTTTTTTTTTACGGGTCTCGTGACCGATCACGACAAATCCCGCGGTCCAAAACAACTAGCGAAAATTGAATAGGGCGTTATTAGATCATATACCAAATTTGGTGCCCAATAATCAAATCAGTTATCGCTATTTAAAATGTCTTTAAAATCTAAATGCGCTAAATAAAGTAATGTATTTTAAATTATATATAATGTATCAGTTTAATACATAAGATGAAATATTTCTGTTTGTGATTTCACTTGGTTATTAAGTTAATAAATTAGTCTGAATACGTCAACAGAGTTTGTCCCCAAATAGGCATTTTTGGACACTCATGGCACATTAAAAAAGTATTAATGTCTTTGCATTATATAACGTAATATGAAACTAAATGCCATTAAGCACCATTTTCAAGCGAGTCATTTTACTAAAGGACATTTGCTAGGTTTCAAATTATAATAGAAGTATTTGGAAGCATTCATGTTAATTTGATAAAGTACACCTGTGTGAACTTCGAACTAACTTCATATATCCACTAAAAATGACCAGTTGGTTAGAAGTCATTGCTGAAATGGCTCAGAAAAATGTTAGTTAGTTCCGAGAAAAGCTCTGGCAAGTGTGTCCAAAAGCGATCAATAACTTTTTTGCCATTTGTATGTTGCCACATGGACTTTTGGTGAAACACACTTTCATCCATAGATAAACATCTGATGGTCCACTAAGGCAAAGTTGTTGTTTTGTTTTGTTTTGTTTCTTCATGGGAACAGATTTGGAGAAATGTAGCATTACATCACTTGCTCACCAATGGATCCTCTGCAGTGAATGGGTGCCGTCAGAGTCCAAACAGCTGATAAAAAAACATCACAGTAATCCACAAGTAATCCACACGACTCCAGTCCATCAGTTACCATCTTGAGAAGTGAAAAGCTGCGTATAAGAAACAAATACATCATTAATGTGTTTTCACTTTAAACCATCGCTTCTGGCTAAATACTAGTCCATAAACCATAATAACGCTTCCTTCAGTGAAAAAGTCCATCCACTGTTGTCTCTCACATCAAAATACACCAACATAATTGTTTACAACTGATTTAGTTTGTAAACAGTACATGATCTGTGCACATTTTTCTCCTGATTCAGACAGGACAACTTTTTCACAGGAGAACACTATATTGTGTTTTAAGGGTTAAGGGCTTGTTTGAAGGGAAAACATCTTGATGATGGATTTGTTTATCATAAACATGCAGCTATTCACTTCACAACATATTAATCGATGGACTGGAGTTGTGTGGATTACTTGTAGATTATTGTAATGTTTTTATCAGCTGTTTGGACTCTTATTCTGACGGCACCCATTCACTGCATGAGGATCCATTGGTGAGCAAGTGATGGAATGCTAAATTTCTCCAAATCTGATTAAGAAACAGACCCATCTACATCTTAGATCACCTGAGGGTGACTAAATTTTCAACATTTTCATTTTTGAGTGAACTATTCCTTTAAGTGACTTTGGTAAACCTAAAATGTGATGTTAAAGTTACATTTTGTACATCTACAAATTGTTTTGACAGGTTAAAATAACCCGACACCAATCTTCTGCTTATCAGCCTGTAATTACTGTGATTTCAGACCCATCATAACCATCTGAAAATGCTGCACCATATGAGTCTTTTTTCAGATTTGATCATCTGTTTCTGGCATGCCTCTCACAAGGTTTGGAGACAGTGTGTTTACACTGACGATGGCCTCTAGCCATGTTATAATCTAGCTTCAAACTGTACGGCAAGATCAAACTTCAAGCGATGGCAAGACATCAAGAGCCCCCGAACATTTGACTGTTTTCAGCCACCTCATTTTTACAATAAGGAATTGACGTTGACATGCTACAGTAACATTTCTTTTTAAAATTGTTCGTCTCAGGGAGAAAACAATTGCTTGTTGAGCTTTTCTCTACATAATGGCAATGGTTGTTATTTCACTTAGGGAATAGATTCAGGGAAAATAAATAACAGGGAAGAAATCTTACTTGGAAAAAAAAGACAGTATAAAGACAGTAAAAATCGAGCACATTTGCTAAAGAATGTAGAATTGCACAGTATAATCTTATAAACAATTCGTATTTAATCATTTGACATCTAACAAACTACATTTTATGAACCAATTTGCTAAAACAATGCTTTACAATAAATAAAAATATATAATACAAAATGTAAATAAAATATTTATATGGGAAAAATATCAAAATGATAATAAAAAATGTATTTAAAATGTTATATTACATATTGTATATATTAAAATTGTATTCTATGTCAAATAATTTAAAATATGTCAAATAATATATAATTGTAGAAATTATACTTTCATAATAATATTCAAAATACTATATAATTCTATATATAATAATACAATTTTGAATTAAAGTGTATAATATAAGGTCAATAGGCCACAATGTGTAATATATAATAAATTAATATAATATTTAAATTAAAAGTGTTACATAAAAAGTTATATATATATATATATGTGTGTGTGTGTGTGTGTGTGTGTTATGTACTACAGTATGTAAAGTAATTTTAAAATAATATATAGTTGTAAATAACATTGTATGTATTTGTATTTTTATAACATTTTATATAATATTATTAACATGAATGTTATTTTAATATTCTGTTTAATTTATTACATATCACACATTGAGGCCTATTGAGCTTTGACACTTTAATTTGAAATTCTAAATAGTATTTAGTTTTTTTGAGAATTTATGGACTATTTTATGACCGTTATTGATCTGCCCCTGACAAGTGATGATAAAGTGACTGTTATTTATTTATTTATTGTTAGTTATGGCTGATCTGTATGGCCAGTCATTTGTTATTTGAAAGTGAGAGTCTGCGTTTTAATCAATAAATCATTCTGAATTAGTTCAGCCTGAAGCTTTTGTTGTGCATCTGTCATCAGAATTGTATTATCCTTTTTTCTGCTATTATTATTTCCCATTACTAGGCTGCTATTATCTAATCTTCGTGTGTTTTTTCCCCCTGAAATCATCTCTACATACTCTGCTTGGCCTACTGACTTCAGGTCCCC